GTCCTGCAGCTCCTTCTCGCTCTGCCGAGAGAGGGGCTACATTCAGGGCTGGCCTCTGGGGGCCCCAGTGCTGCTGCAGCTCCCCCCAGGCAGGGCACGTGATGAAGGGAGCAAGCTGGGGCCAGGAACAGCTCTGCCGGGAAGCAGTGATGGCCAGGACCCCAGGGCAGGGCTGGCACGTCTGCCACGGAGCCCCAGGCAGCCAGGCATGGGCAGCTGGCCAGAGGCCTGCCCAGGCCCGGCTCCGTGACTCAGCACCGCGGTGTCAGCCCGGGACAGCGGGCAAGGGAGCCCCAGGGGACGCCCCGCTGCGGGGGAGGCGGCTGGAACCAGAGCAGCGAGTAGCTGCGGGGCACGGAAAAAGCCAGTTACCCAGATTCTCACGTGCGGTGCAACGCGAGCCGCCCGGGCCCGTGTCCCACATCGGCTCTGCCCCGGGGCCGGCGCTGACCCACTTCGCGCCCGCTCACCTGTAACTTGACTCTCAGCACCTTGTTCAGCTTGGCGATGCTGGCGTCGCGGGCATCCAGCTCTGCCCCCAGGGTCTCCAGCTGCTGCTTCAGGTCCACGCTGTGGTGGGGGGAGGAGGGGGGGAGGCGGCCTGGCTGAGCTCGGGGCGGGGACACTGCTCGCAGGCTGCGGTGCTCATGGCTTGCTGCCCCCAGCCCTTTAGGGGCTGGGGGGAACCTCCAGCCGACTCCCACGGACATAGGGCCACCCCTTGCACTGCCAGGACCCAGCTCAGCACAGCATGAGCCCTGCTGGGGGAGGTGGGGGGCTGGCGCAGCCTGGGGCGATGGGACCTGCGCCCAGGGGGGACAGAGTGGAGCCAGGCTGGGGGCATAGGCTGCCAGGTGACAGCTGCACACAGTGGTGCCAGGGCCAGACTCACATCTCTGCCTGCAGTGCCTGAGCTCTCTCCTGCTCTGCCTCCTGTGCCAGGCTGCTCGCGGCAACAAGGTCTGCGATGGTGTGCCTCAGCTCCTGCACGCGCTCCAGCAGGCTCGCCTCGGCCTCGGCCTCTGGGGACAGAGCCGCACCTCCATTGCCACCTGGCACCAGCCCCGGGCTAGGGTCCGCGGGGCACAGGCAGCGTTGAGACATTCACCTGTCCTGCCTGCAAGGCCCCATGCCCCTGGGGCAGGTGGACATGGTGCTGGGGGCCAGACAGGGCTAGGGCGCTGCCTTGGGAGGAGTGCCCGTGGCGTGGGGGCGACATGCTCTTACCTGCTGGCTTCTGAGGAGCTGCTGGCTCGACCTTGGCGAATGCACTCCCGACTCCAATGCCATCACCATCAGGGTCTGCAGAGAGCACGGAAGGGCCAGGTCTGCAGCACCTACCCACCCCTGCGGGCACCGGGCACTGCTCCCCAGCTCCCGGCTGCACAGCAGGGACAAGGTCGTGTGCCGGGGAGCAAGAAGTAACCCTGAGCGCAACCCGCACGCCCTCGCCAACGCTGCCACTGGAGGCCGCCGGCTGGCCCAGCCAGGCTGGGGTTGCAAAGAGCCAGGATGCTGCCTCGCCCCCTCCCTCACCCCCAGTGCAAGCAGGAAGCTGAGGCTGCCCCAGGCAGACGTGCCTGCATCCTACCTTTCCCTGCCATAGCTTTCAGGACGCTGCCCACGAAGGAGGTATGTAGGCGATGCGGGGTCTGGCGGGCGGGGGTGCAGGCTCTACTCCAAGACAAGGCCCCGTCAGCCTGGGGCGACAAGGGGACAGGTCATGGCACATGGTGTGCAGCCCATGGGGGCCAGGCGCTGCTCCCACCCCGCCCTGTGCCACCAACCCACCTCTTCCTGCTGGGCAGCACGCAGCGCCCTGGCAAGGCCCAGCAGCTGGTCAGTGCCCCGGGCGATCTCTGACGAGGACTTCAGGACCTCATCCCTCTTGAGCTGCAGGTCCTGGAGCTGTGCCTGGCAGGCCTTCAGCTCCTGGCGCAGGGCACTCTCCTCCATCCTGGGGAGAGGGAGGGACAGGGTCAGTGGTGCCGGTGGACAGGGGAGACACGGGTCTGGTGGGGCGCACTGAAGGGGAAACATGGGCAGGATCTCTGAAGCCAGAACAGCTGCGCAGCAAGGACCACATGTGCCGGGCAGAGCTGCCCACAGGACCACCACACACCAGGGACCCGTCCCCGCGCCAGGGCCAGGCTGGGGCTCTGCCTGCCCAGAACTGGTGACAACACGCCACTCTGCACAGCCCATCGCGGATCCCCCTGCCCTCCCCGCAGCCGAGGCCCAGGGGCACGAGGCAGAGACAGCCGTACTTGAGGCCATGGTAGGCGTCCTGCAGCTCCTCGTGCTGCATGCTGCGCTCCCGCAGGGTGGCCAGCGTGGACTTCAGTTTGTGCTCCGTCTCCAGCAGCTGGGCACGGGACACGCGGTTCTCCTGGTCGATGAACTGTGGGCACAGAAGGGGCGTGGACAGTGCACAGGGGTTAAGACAGGGGTGGGCAAAATGCAGCCCACGGGCCAGATGAGACCCTCCAGGTCATCCTATCCGGCCCGTGGGGCCCCTAAAAAATTTAGAAAATTAATGTTTATCTGCCCCTGGCTGCCTGTCGTGCAGCCCTCAATGGCTTGCCAAAACTCAGTGAGCGGCCCTCCGCCCGAAATAATTGCCCGCCCCTGGTTTAAAACATCTCTGCGGGCCTGGGAAGTGGCAACCTGGCTCGTAGCTTCCAAGGGGCCACATC